AAAAAAAAAAAAAAAAAACAGCGTTTCCCTTTAAGGGCTTGCTTTTTCACAAACAGCCTAAAAGAATGAATCCTTGCTTGGTTGTCTGCAACAGAACATCTGGTGTAACTGGGCCAGATCCTGCAATTATGATGATGGATTCTTGTTTAGCTTATACAGCTGAAGGATGCCATATTTCATCCAGTTCATGCTCCTTAGATTAAATGATATTTGTTTACAGCAGAGACTCCCTAAATTAAAAATTTCACTTGAAACAAAATTGCAGATTTTCTTCTTTTAGTATGTCTGGTATTTTAGAGTTAAGTTTACTCTGTCACCTTAAACCATAAAATGATATAAAAAAAAAAAAGTAGAGATGCATCTAATTAAGAGCAAAGTTTGGATCAATCTTCAGATACTTAATCTGTTATTGTAGCCTAATTGCACATCAGTCCTTTGTTTCTATTTCCAGCAATAATCCAAAAATAACAAAAATATATAAATAAGTTTGGATCACGGTTGACAGTTTCAGAGCTAAATTATTTTTCATCTCATTAACAGACCATGACAGCTGAAAAAGGTCTGAGGATATTCATTTCACAGGAAACTGTGGAAGGGTTTCATTCAGCCTCCACGTCTCCAGAGATTCGGCTTTCTTAGCCGGCTTCTCCACCTCTGAGCGAAGACGCACCCCAAGCCGTCCTGCTCAGCTGCTGGAAATCATTTTGGTCTCTGAAAAGGCCTGGTCGCCACTACCTTGTCTCTGTGAGACTTTGTGTTGATTGGTACTGACAGAGTGCACTCATGTGGCATCACACTTACTGTAACCTCTCAGATAAAAAATAGAAATGGGAATAAAGGCAAGCTGAAAAAAGAGTGAAAGGGCGGGGAGGATGAAAGTGAAGTAATGATACAATCCACTGGAGAGACTCTGTGTCGGATAGTCTGAGTTATCAAGCGAGACGACTGAGCAGCCTGCAAGGAGCCTCAGAGGGGTATGAGCGCATTCCCAGGGTTCTGGATTATTCTGTAATTCTGGGCTCAGATGTATGAGTGGTCAAAGTGAGTCAGCTCTTACCTCCAGTCCATCTTCTCCACCAGGTATGCACATATCAGAAAGCCAGTCCGATTGAAGCCATGCGTGCAGTGGACTCCTTCAGGACATAGAAACATTTTTAAAAGCATCAGATTGATGTACTGTTGATACAAGAGAAAGGCAACCCTGTAAGGCTTAAGAATTATGAAGTATTATCTATGCTTAGAGGCTTCAAAAGATGCAGGTAAACGAAAAATAAATAAAAACAGCATGTTATCCCCATCTGAATAGCAGCGCGGTCTGTACGGGTCAACCTCTCTACGATGAGTCCGTGTTTTAAAAACTGGCATGAATCGCCTCAGGGGGGCACTGACTTGAAAACAACATCAAAAATCTGTCTGAAACCAGAAGCTGGACAAACACAGGGGATTTAAAGAGGGATGAAACATTTAAGCCGAAGAGTAAAGGATAATAAAATGAAGCAAACAAAAGAGCAGACCCCCGACTCCCAACACCACCTGCACCAAATTGAAAAAAACTGGTTCTTTTTCGAGAAACATTCAAATCTTATCACAGGTGCACGACAGCTTGGACGTGAAATGAAATGAAACATCCTTTGGTTTAATGGGTCTAACAGTCGTCCAGGTTAGGAGGCATTTATTGGCCCAGCTGTTTCAATTGGATACGTGTTCTGCAGAGAAAGCCAGCCCTGATTACCAGCCTGCCAAAGACAGGATGTTGTTGAGATCACGATCAGACATTCTGTTTTAGTGCTCAGGCTACTCCATTTACAAGGCAGGGCTGCAGTAAGGTAAAAAAAAAAAAAAACTGATGAGAAAGCGAGGTGTAAGAGAGCCCCCCGCTGCCTTCAGTGCTAAACTACAACCTCTGACTTCACAATCATTGAAAATGCTCTCTAACCAAAAGGATGCTTTTCTTATTAATATTAATCTCTTTATTTATTATTTCAAATCTATAAATAATTAAAAAAAGACTTAAAAAATGTGTTAAATGACATTAGAGCTAACTATTAAGATAAGAAAACAGTAGATAAAACAAAAGACAGAAAATTATAAAATAAAAGCCCACACACTAACATTTAGCTCAGCAAAAAAAAATACTAATTTAGACAGTAACTGATGCTCCTTCACCCACTATCACCTACACAATGTTAAAAAAGGGGCTTTTCTCTTTCTAATGACAACTCCCACACTCTTGCAAATGAATAAAATAATACCTAGCATAAACAGCCAACTGCTTTGCACCAACATGAGAACCCAGTCTCTAGGGCTGCAACTAAAGATCATTTTGCAAATCAATAAATCTGTCAGATATTGTTTCATCTAATAATCGGATAGCCAAAAGTTCCTTAAAGAAGATTTTTTACTAAATTAAACTAGGTGAAAATAAAACTTTCCCACTTATTGAGTTCTGGATAGAGCATATTGACAGAAAAAAAGAATTCTGTCAATTAAATTCAAAACGATTACATATATTTTTTACAATTTTGATATAATTACTGCTCTTTTGGGTTGCTCTGTCAGCTAAAGGCATGTTTTACAGTCTCTATACTAGAGTTAACGATTAATCAATCATTAAATTAGTTGACGCTTAGTTCAATAATCAATTAATCACGATTAATTTGATTAATTGTTTCAATTCTGTGTGGTTCTACAAACAGAGCAGGTCTTATTTGGGCCCTGGTGATGTGTGGCTCTAAAAGGTGTTTATTCAGTATACATTAAAGACATTTAGTTAAAACATGCAACCACACTTCCTGTATTTGAGGTAATACTGCCCTCTGCTGGGCACAAATGGTACTAATGTCTGTTTTTAATATGTTTTCTTAACCCCTATTTTATCCAGTTTCTGATTAATTTCCTTAAACTGTCTGAACATGAACAATATATTTGCTTAAAAAAGTGACAACTAAATTTAGATAAGTTATTGTAGTATAACAAAAGTCTTCAAGAGCATAGAACTGACAGAGAAAACAAAATTACGAAGGAGTTTATTAAGCCAGGCTTAGGTTGTTATGTTATTTCTGAGGCAAAGCTTTTAAAATTAGTAAAATTGTCTAGTTAACTGTATTCCCGTGAACAAGGTTCTTGGCAATCTAGAATAAATACAAGCTAGAACAATAAAAGCTAAAGCTGAAAAGTTTGAGTAAAGCTACATTTTCATTATAAAGCTGTGCTCAGAAACTAAGGGACAGAATTCTAAAGTTCTCTATCATAGTTATATTGTAGCTATGTGATAGAGAATTCTTAAAAAATAAGTTAAAATCTTAAAAAATAAAATCAATCCTGCTTTTATATCAATAAACATATTTTCGTCTCATTACCGAACCCAATCAACTTTACTGTTTATCAATTGGAGAAACATTTTGAATCCTGTTTATGCAGCACACATCTGTCAACCTATTTGATTCTAAACAAACAGATAAATGGAGCAAAGACCAGCGATGAAAAAAACAAAACAACAGAGTGGAGTAATAAATAAAAACAGGGCTCACCTATCAGTTCTGTGGGATTCTTCTCTATAAAGTCTTCACAGAGTCTGATGAAAACTGCAGTTGTCTCCTTAGAAGGGCATTCCCCATGGCTTTAAACATATATAAAAAAAAAGCCTTCAGCATATTACAAACACAACATAACTCTAACATCATACTTCTGGATCAAATATTCAGATTTGCTCTGTCAAATCTGCACATACCCTTTACACTGGAGCTTCAGATATTTAATTCCTTCTTTTTCAATGTCATTGCGGTCATAAAAGCGAGTAGTGTTTGTCAAATCCACAAGCAAACCCATTTTGACCTGAGGAAAAGACAGAGACAGTGAACCAATGGATTTCCTCTGAATATAAGAGCTCATCTTTGCACATTTACTCACTTTGAGGCTTTTTAAATAGTTGGACAGCATGCTTGGATGAAACCTGTTTTCTTCTGCAACTTGGTCATCATACCTTGGACCCAACATTGTTTTCATAGGCAGGAATTTACCTAGAGAAAGGAGTCGTTTAAAAAGTCATTAACATATGTTAAATCTGTCCAGCTTCAGTTTAGAGATGAGAAAATCATTACAATGTCTTATAATACTGATGGAAACAATTATATAACAATTATATATTACATATAATATAACAATTATATATTACATGTTCTGCTAAACTATTTTCTTTCACATTCTCCACAAGAAGACTTGAATCTTAGTTTTTTTGCAAATATTTTTAATGCAGAAGTTAACTTGAATTGTTTTACTCACTAGTTTGTTTTTTTTATCTTAAAACACAGTATTCACTTTATTCTTCTTTTTCGTCAAAGCTCAGTTACCTTAAATGCGACTTGTGGCATTGAAACTAGGGATGCACGATATTGGGATTTTGGCCGATATCCGGTATGCCGATATTTTAAAACTCATGTAGCTGATAACCGATATCGATACCGATGTTAAAGCTGGACAAAAATAAGTAGTCATTGAAAATAGCAGTTTTGTTATCCATTTCTGACACTTTGAAAAATAATATACTCAAATATATTGTCATATGCAGAAATCAAATTGATTTTTAAAAACGCGGTATCGATCTATTTTACTTTCAAATATTCAGTTTTAAGGCCGATACAGGCCGATACCGATAGGGGGCCGATTATATCGTGCATCCCTAATTGAAACTTGGTTTTAATTTTTGTTTTGTTTTTTTGCTCCCAATCTAAAAGATGGATACTTTCTACACTTATAGGGAAGTCTTTTTGACACATACTCAAATGCAACAAGACATAATAAAGACATAACTTCTTGTTAATTTTCATAAACCATAGCGCCAATGTACTAACTTGCACTTTAATAGTTTTAAGCCTTAATCAATAACTTGACATATTTTTCATAAGGGTGTTTGGAAATTATTATATACAAAATATTCTGTTTTGGACTAAATTCATATTTAAAATGCCTATTATCAAATAGGCAATACATAATTACAAAAATCTAATTTTTTTTCAAAAATCAGTACATTAAGGAACCTGCATATTTCCCACTTGAGGAATTACATTTTTGTTCTTCATTAAAAAGAATAAAAAAGTATTTATATGAATGTCTGCTGTAAGTAATGTCAATCTGGATGCTTTGAATAACTGCTTTGACAATACATGTTTTGTGAATTAGGGATATCTAAATTAACTGAATCAAAAATGAATGTGGCCATGGTTGTTTGGTACAGGGACTGGACAACTCCTGTTCATATATGGATTTATTTAGAGGTATTTAGAGGTTGATCTAGATGTATTGCAATCTCCTACATATCACCCCATAAGTGAATGAGTGTTGGCCCAGTGGTTAGAGCAGTGTGCTTGTGCTGTGAGAAGGTTGGAAGTATCCAGTTTGATCCCCACAGGCTGCCACTCTGGATCTCTGAGCAAGACTCTTAACCCCACACTGCTCCCCCAGTGCTGCACAATGGCAGCCCACTGCTCCCCAAGGGGATGGGTTAAATGCAATGTTCTTTTTTCCATTGTGAGATCAACAAAGTTCAATGTCTAAGTTTCCATTTCTATTTTCTAAACCAGGCTATTATCCCTATCTTTTGGAGTTACATAAAGACATTGAGGAATACAATTCCTAGGATTTCCCGACTAAAATTTAAAACTAGGTTGTGTTCAGAAAAGTTTCAGGGAAATGCATTTCTTTGCACCTTTGTATTGTAAGGATCAGATTTTGTGCGGTAATAATGGATACATGAACCACTCTGTGCAACGTGCATCGCCTCGGTATGTTTGGACACGTGATATTAGGAAGCTTGGAAACAAAATATTTCATAGCAGCTTGTTTACAGCTGAAAATGCGGCCAATGGATGCTTATTTGTTAAAAAGCACTATAGAATGCGTGTCCTTGGCTTTTTTTTAAAGACGTAACCCCTAAAATTAAGCCGAGTTAAGCGTCACGCCAGACTTCATTCAAAAAACAATCAGGCTAATTCTATCGGTAAAAAAAACAACAAAAGAAAAATGCAAATTAAAAAAATATCTGGTTTCTGCAATAATGGCAGCAATTGATTTAACTCGGCGAAATAAGTCACACATATCCCTGCTTCATTTACTGAGCATAACACTATATCACTTGGATAGAACTGCTTACTCACATGTAAGCTGCTTAACAAAAACAACACATTAATACAGGTAGGTTTTGAATAATAGATCAATTTACTTTCTTAATATTACAGTAAACAGCAACTCAAGTACTGTTCTAGTGATATATAACATTTTGAATTCACTTTACACAGGGCAAAAAAACAAAAACATATGCAATGAATGTTATAAATAAGTTACTGCTTACCTGCCACCGGCTGCCCTCTCCTGGGACAGTTACGCCATCGAGGAGGGGGTCCAGTGTGCGACATGTCAGAAAATGATTGTTTAAAATAAGTAAAGCCTTGTATAATATCCGTCGGTCATAAACCTAAAATCCCGGATTAACACTCTACTCGAGCACCGCGGCTTCAAGGCCCTGTCGCTGCTAATTCAGGATCATCCAACAAGTTTATACCCGGGCAGCATTGTGACGGGGCGGGAACGGATTTAAACAGAGCATGAGCTGTGAAGATGCAGCCTAGTGCACCACCCGAAAAATATTCCCCTCTCCCTAAGTTGTTTCCTTTCTTTTTAAATCCACATGGTTAGAAATAGACAAGCATTACTTTACTGCTGGGTTAGCTTGTGCTACATCACAGAGCCAACCTCCTTCTTCTAACAAATATCTGTAGTGCAAGACTACTAGCTTGTTATGCTGCCACCTATGGATGGGTTTTAAAATTACAAGATGTTAAACTTTTTTTGTTGTTGTTTTGTGAAAATTCTGTCAACTCATGTATTACTTTGTTCAATTGTGCTTTACGTTTAGACTTATCTATTTATGTCTATGTGCCTTGAGGCTGTCAAACAAAAAAACTTCCATCAGAATCAGAATCAGACATACTTTAATAATCCCATATATATATATATATATATATATATATATATATATATATATATATATATATATATATATATATATATATATATATATATGCATATGTATAACTAAATCCAAATAAAGTGATAGTGACGTGCAAAAAAAGTGCAAGGAATAAATAAATGGGGGGGTGTCTGAATCACTTGAGGGAGGCGTTGAAGAGATTGATGACCACAGGCAGAAATGATTTCCCGTGGCGCTCTGTGGTGCATCTGGGTACAACTATATACACATTGACAAAGAAATTATTGAATATTCTAAATATAAAAATAATGAGATTGCCCTGCAATTGGATGGGAAACTCATCCCAGTGGGAAGGGGCTGAACACAAAGGGCTTTATAATCAGCCTCATCATAATATCTGTGAAAAGCGTCCCACAGTCAAGATGAGTATCATGAAGTGGACTGGATGTGCAGCTTACCCACTCAGCCAAATCAGATGCCATTGATGTTTTTAATTATTTCATAGTGCATGGATTATTGGTATTTAGTTATCTACTTCAATAAATGTTTTATTACTTTCTTATTTAGTTTGTGCTCACAATATGCTTGGAATTGTAGAAATGTTATAAAAGTAAAAAAAAAAAAAAAAAACAGGTTCTTTGGAAGTACAGAAAAAGGGTCAGTTAGGAGCCAAAGTATGATCAAAGTTCCTGATAGCTGCAATGAAAAAACAATGGAATTCACTAAGAATACTTAAATGGATAGAGGGTCTTTTTTTTTCTTTTTTTTTTTTTCATATACTCAAGTTGTAACCAGAGAAGTGTAAATAAAATTGCAATCTTCCAAAAGGACAGAAAAGAATTCATTTAATTAAAATCTGAAAAATAAATACTTGTTCAAAACACAATAAACAAATAAGCACACAGTGAGAAAGATAATTGCAACCTCATTGTGTTTGTTCTGAAGTTTAAGAAATTCAGTCATCAGTATTGCATGTGGGTTATTTTGAAATAGACCTCAGGAAATTATCATTGCAATTCCGCTCAATGTATTAGTCATTATGACTAGTCATTATGACAGAACATAATTGGAAAATAAATATATTGTAAAATATCTATCGGTACAAATTTGCTTTTTAAAATGTGAAGGATCTTTGTTAGAAAAAATATATACAATGGCAGCAAAAATATGAAAAATGAAATGTATTTATTTCAATGTCACATTAATGTGTATTATATTTTGTTACATTAGACAACATGTATGTATTACATACAGATCAAAACCACTTTTACATTTGAAAGCTCTTTTCCTACACATTTCTTTGTTACAAAATACATTTAATTGTACTGGCTTATTCTTATGCAAAAAAACAAACAATGATAACAATAAAGAAACAGCACAAAGTGTACAAAGCTGCAAAACTCAGGATTCCTGTAAAAAAAATGACTTAAGACATTCAATACTCCCTGATCTTTTAGTAACATAAAAAAAGAAATCTCTTCAGCATTTTGCAATAACCTGGTTATGCAAATGAGTCATCTTAAGCTAATGTGTCATTTTACTACCTTTGGATTTAATGTCAGCATTCTTCTCTGGAGTTCATATCTGACATTATTCACAGTTAATCTGATTAACCTGACATAAAGTTCAATTTTCCTGCATTTGGTTTATCATTCATTTTAGTGCTCAAAAGAATCCAAATGTCAACAGGTATAAACCACAACAAGGGTACAAAAACATTTCAGTACATAAAGTAATAATAGTTAACAATCATACGAGACAACATAGGCATTACAAAACAAGGACATTTATGCAAAAAAGATAAGATAAGATGGCAAGAGCTGCAAATAAGATGCTAGCAACACTGAAACAACAGAATAGGAATTTCTTGAAGGTTTATTTGGGGAAATCTGTGAAGCTACCACTAGAGGGCAGTGAATGAGAAGTTCTCCCAATCTCATAGATCTAAATAGTCTAATATTCTTAAATAGATGTGGAATAGTGGAGGACTTTTATTAAAATAGATAAAATACTTGGAATTAAATCAAGAGATGTATTTATGTTTGGGTGCTAATGCATGCACACAGATTATGGCAGCTTTTTTGTTCTGTTTTTATTATTTCCTTGAATTGTTTTAATATTACAAAAGCTGGCATTTTTAAAGAGGTATATGCATTTTTAAGACACACTATATTCTAAAAATACAATCTTATCAACATACTCTTTGCTGTTTAAAATACAGTGTATGATACATATTGTAACAGTGAGTGATAGTGGTGATACCAACACCTATGCAGCTAAAGAACCATGTTCTGAGAACTTAATTTTCATCAACAGGGCAAACAGTTTTAAGTTGTACTATAGGAAATACGGTACATGAACAATCTTTCCTGTCACCCAAGGTATCTGTGCTGAATGACTCATCTTGACTCAAATTTTTCTTCTGTTTCCAAAACACTCACCTAACATCACTTTGTTCAAACATGTTCAAGCTGACATATAATTGCTTTGATGTTGTCTTTTCTTGATTTTTGCCCATGTCACTCTTAGATGGTTTTTCAGCACCTAAGAAAGGTTCCACTGAGTCCTGACTACGATACGGGCTGCTCTGTGAGAAAGAACATACCGTTGATGCTTCAGGGGAAGGTAGGAGCTGAGTTTCTGAGTTTTCATAGAACCACTCAGCATGTTCACTTTCTGGCATAGAATTAGTCGATGAGTTGCAGATCATTGGTTTGCCATTCCAGGGTTTTTCACCAATACAAACTGGAGTAAAAGCTTTCCCAGCCTCTCTCTGAGTTTTATCCATGATGACTTGGTTTTCAATTTGATCTGTGACTGGCCGGAAGAACCCCTCCGTCTGAAGTAGACATTAAAGCACAGGGAAAAACAACATCAGGTCTTATCCAGACACTAAATTTGACCAATATGCAGCCTCTAATGATGCACTTAACATGCAAAACATTCATATTTACCCTGATTGAATTTATCCTGGAAATGTCCAATTTTTTTTTTTTTTTGCAATCAATTATCTTTTTGTTTTTTCAGTCAATAAAACTGTAGAAAACCTCCAGAAATCCAGGGTTTCTTGCAAAATATCCTGACTAGTTCATAGAGTTCGTAATTATAAGATACCGCAGATAATTTCATATTAAGATTAAATAATACCTACTGAGGAGAAAAATCAATCATTTGACAATAATTTCCACCATTTGGACCTTCTTAGAGCACAAGTGCACTGCTCTAACCACTAGTCCAACACTTCCTGTCTATTAGCAAAATATATAATTAAATATTTAACTTTAAGTATTAGTACAAATATAGCAATGTTTTTGTTTCCTTCTTTTAAAGACAACAGACATTTTCCTGTGCTTTCAGACATGTTGCTTTTTTTTCTTCTAGATTCTAATCAATCTCAACACAAAGGTGCAGTTTATGGTACAAACTGACTCATGAAAGAGCTCAGTCACGGTAGGTCTTTATAAATCAACTCCTTTGAAGTTTAATTTTTCCTTTTAGGACCTGCAGCATGTGAAAATGTTTTCACAAACGTGTCAGTTTGAGGTTTAAAGACAGGTTTAAGATCTATGCGTACATAATAATAAGGTTGAGTGTGGAAAGGCTGGGTAATACAAGCACCCATCTGTTTTTGTGGGAAACCTTGGCCCCTCTGACGCAAACTGGAATTTGTTAGGAAGACCTTTTTAGGCTCGATATCAAACCCTTAATTTACAACCACATTTCAGTGATGACATTTATGGGCTGGAGCACTGAGTGACTGAAAATAAACAAAAATAAACAATCAACCATGTTAGTTTGTTGTTGATGGACAAGATCTCATTTGGAAAAATCCTTTAGAATCTTTACAGCTTGATTATCATGTAACCATAAACACTAACTAAATAATTCAAAACATTTGCTGTCAACAAAGGATACCAGTAATGTTTTATGAATTCATACATATTCATTTGTACATCTGCTATGGGGCTGTGACAAAATTTATATTGACCTTACCTTTTGATGACCATGTGATACCCATTTCCCCACAGAACTGAGACGAGGATTTGGCACAGGCATCTCCTTAAATTTCTTCCATCTAAAAATAAAATGAACAATCATTAATTTTTTGTAATGACTCTTTATAAAAGGAAACATGGTTGATTGTCCTTTAAGACCTTTAATTTCAGTCACTCAGTGCTCCAGCCCATTAATGTCACAACTGAATTGGGGTCGTAAATTAAGGGTTTGATATTGAGCAAGAAAATCTGCAAAAAGAATTTTAGCTTGTGTCGGAGTGGCTAAGGGTGACAGAGGTGTTGGATGCAGGAGTTTGCCCTGCAACCGGAAGGTTGTCGGTTCAAGCTCTGCTTTTCACTGTTGTTGTGTCCTTGGGCAAGACACCTGCATTGCCTACTGATGGGAGGAGGGACCAGTCGCGCCAGTGTACAGAAGCCTCACCTCTGTCAGTGAGCCCCAGGGCAGCTGTGGCTACAATGTAGCTTGCCACCATCAGTGTGTGAGTGTGTGAATGACTGAATGTAGTATAAACCACTTTGGTCAAGTCCTCTGAGTTAAAAAAGCACTATATAAACACAGGCTATTTTAAAGGAACACTTTTTACTGATTATACAAAACTGATTTTTGTAAGTTACAATAAATTATCAGAAACATTAAAGAACGAAACTTACTGAATGGCACAGGTTAGCCCAAGACACAGTACAAGAAAGAAACAAATGCCTCCGTAGACGGTAACAGTTGTAACAATCTTGGAATCTGTAAA